CGTCAGTCTCAACTGTAAATGTAAATTATAGGCGTAACTTTTTTCAATATATTATATTGAAAATAAATTCATAAAGCCTTATATTCGTAATGCCTGATATTCCATTTAGTTGCTTACAAGGCATGTTATTCAAAATCTGTTGTTGTAAAGTAGATCGATTCATCACTGTTTTTTGGCCGAGGGTCTTGCCAAAATGTTCTAGGCACACAAATGTAGAATTTACAATATTACAAAAGCGCACGATACTAACACCTCGTACAGGAAGATTGTAACTTATCAGCACGCGCGATAAAGATAAGAGTATTTGAAGGAACAACGATACCAATACCCTTAAAAAAAAATTTTTACCAATGTCCAGCAAAATTACCTCATTTTTTCACAGATAAATACTGCTCTCAGAAGTACTATATAAAATATTACAATTTACACGGGGCCAGAAGCATCTCATCTACCATACCTGCAGGTCGCACCTACTCGCGCAGCGGTCTGATCGTGAGAACATGGCGCGGCGGGCAAAGCGATCCTGATAAACTCCCGGCGGACTCGTCCGACTAATGCTGCCTTCAATCAGTTCCAGAACAAAGCTTAATTACAATCTCCTCACTTGCAATGAATTTACATGGGAAATTAGGAGCTCGGATATCGCAAGCTCCAATTTGGATGGGATTAAAAGCAGCAGCGCTGGTAACCGAGCCTGTACTGCTTGAATAAACGTTACCTGAGCGGCGCGGGTAACGCGAAATTAACGTGTGCACCGCTTTAATACCAGAGGGTATTTTTAATGCCATATATCGTGCGGAGCATGTGCAAGCTAGGCCTCTTCATCCCATGAACTCGTTTTGTAATAAAGTGCGCATCCACCAGCAGCCATAAAACTCTCAGATATTCAACATGAGCAACGGTAGAAGAACTGTTGAACGAAACCTATCAGTTAAACAGTGAACTTTTTACAAATTTTAGCAGTACTTCATAGAAATACGAACGCAATTCATGAATAGCCAACGGCAACCGTTTTCAAACTGGATGTAGTTACTCCTGTAATATGCAGTTCTGTTAGATACTATTTATGAATGAAAAGTAATAATTTGGTAAATATTATATAAATGAATGAATTGTTTGCACAATACAGTAGCTGCAAAAAACGTTGTGCCGCAGCGTTAATATGGACGAATGAAAATAGTTTTTTTTACAGAATGAAAAATTGTTCTTGACGTTGAAATACCTGGAGTAAATATTGAGCCTCTGCACGGTATTCGGAATGACTCCGACCAAATGTCTCGGTAGACTTAACACACGTAGCCGATCGCTCGACCAACAGCGAATAAAAATTGCCAGCGTGCAGACTACTCACCGAGTCTGTAACTCGATGAATACTAGCTTGCAGACTTCACTCCTAGTCTGTAACTCGGTGAATCCAAGCGTACAGACTAGTCACCGAGTCTGTAACACGGTCACTCCGGCAGCGCCTGGCACAGCACAGCAATGCTGAGCCCCAGTGCATCCAGTGGGCAATAGTTCAACTCGCTCCCTCTTACCCGAGGGAACTCAGTGGGGAGCGAGGCCACTGGAAAATCAGAGGGCTTGGCCTGCCGTGTCGGTAGGACTTCGTAGCAACGAGCAAGGTGGCCAGATGGCCTTTTGACCGCGGACAAAAATGACCAAAAAAGGCCTTCAACTAAATATATACCAGTATATGTATATAGGTTTCGGTATAAAAATTCCATTTTCCCTTTTTTCGCACTTTTTTAAATTAATAAGGAAGTGTAACTATCATAAATTTTAGCCTACCACCGCAATTTAACAAAAATTAAATCGCGGAATTTGTCCGGAAAAAAGGACCATCTGGCAACCCTGCCAACAAGGAACTTAAAAGACCAAAGAGCTCGGTATTCACGGCCTTTGATGTCTGTTTGATCAAACGCATTTCTCATTTCAGCCAACGTCATACATTAACTTTCGGTAAACATTCTTCTTAGCACTTGTTTATTCTCATTTATTGCGAACTTTTGCAACTGTACGTCTAATTCGGTTCTTCTCTGTTATTTTACTTTCAAGTCGTTAGTAAAAATTCCAAGTAGAACACAACATCAGCATTCCGCTGGCTCTCAACTCATTGCGTTGTGCTAAGTTTAATCTAGAAGAACAAGCAAAATAAAGTAAGATCAGTAAACCGCAGAATTTATTTCATCAAATACAAGGCATTTACTTTACAAGCGCGGCTCATAACATAAACTTCAATCATTAAATATACAATTCAAGTCAACAGTGGTGGAATATCAATTATGAGCAATTACGAGCTTATATCAACAGAGTCTAGAGAACCACAGGCAAAAAATGCGCACCGAAGTGAAGTAAAAGCACAAAACTTTTCGCAGAAAAAACTAATAATCAATGAGCTAAAACGATGATGATAATAATAATACGTAGAGTTAGTTTAGAGGCCACATGTTTACTAGCGCTTCAGCTATTTAGCTATCTCGCACCAAAAGTCATGTTGAACATCACCAAAGAGGTGGAAGGTCTCAATTATCAAAAGTTTCTCAANAGGACCGGCCCGTGACCGGACTGAACATGTGGATGCACGTGGCAGGACCGGCCCGTGACCGGACTGAACATGTGGATGCACGTGGCAGGACCGGCCCGTGACCGAACTAAGCTGGCAGAACTAAGCCTAATATTGCTGGCAGTCCATATCACAAACTCTTGTTCTATTAAAATCTCGACACGATAAAATCTCGACACGAAACTTTCTCAGTCCATAATAATTCTGTCTAGTAATTCTGTAATTCTGTAATTAATCAGAAATAATGTAATGTTATTTGTAATTCTGTAATAAAATTAATCAAGACTTGACCCAATGCAAAAAAATATACAAGAAAACATGAATTATTACAAAAGAACTCATGACGAACATTAATTATTACAAAAAAAATAATTCAAAAGCATTGCACATTGAGCAGCAAGATAACTAATGGTCACGTGAGACGGAAACGAATGAAGCATAATAGAAGGAAAATGAATTAAAGAGCGAAATTAGGTAAACGAAGCTTCCACAATAAATAAATAAAATTCGATAACAATTTGATTCAACTAGAATAGTCGTGATCTTGACGGAAGTCAACAACCAAGTAGAAATCGAGGAAATTTCATTTCTTTCGGATAAAGAATTCACGAGAAGATAAAATTTACGAGTCGCTCGGTGACAGAATAGAACTGATCAATGATCAAGCCCTTGAAAGCATAGAACTAAACATAAATCAACCGCATGACAGAATAGAACTGATCAATGATCAAGCCCATGAAAGCATAGAACTGATCAATAATAGAACAGATCAATGATCAACCCCATGACAGCATAGAACTAATCAATAATAGAAACAGATCAATGATCAAGCTAATCTTGGTCGTGCCGGCAGTCTGTCGGGAGCGAGTTGCCCAAGATTGGACAGCCAGACTCGCCAGGTCAAATTTTTGCGTCAGAAGGAAATACGCTATTTATTTAAGTGAATACGTCTTGCAACGCAGGCGAGAACACGGGAGGATTTAAATATTGAAGTTACAAACGTGATAGTTCGCCGACATAATGAATGAAGTTAATTAACCGAAATTTTTATCTCATAACCAAATAGTTATTAAAATTAACATTTTATTTTAAAATTGTATTTTAAAATTGATTCTGTAACGGTAAACTAATTCAACACAATGGCTTTCAAACATCATAAATTTAACACAATGGTTTTAAACATCATAAATTTAACACAATGGCTTTCAAACATCATAAATTTAATAAAATAGATTTCAAACATCATAAATTTAATAAAATAGCTCCAAACATCATAAATTTAATACAATGGCTTTCAAACATTTTCACTCGTCCTAACGACTGAGAAGTTTCAGAGAAGTGATGTACAGAAGATTAAGCTGGCTCATCCGAGGCTACAAGTTGTTTTATGTCAGCAGTTGTGAATGCTTACCACGAATAAATGAACTCACCATAACATACCAAGAAACTTTTGTTTTCAAATAGAATTCCTACAATACTTGGTAGAAAAAATAAATGTAAAGTGAAGGCACAAGGAAAACAGCTATCTTATTTTAACCGCTTATCTCTAGTTGAAGTCTAATTTCAGGACCAAGTGATTATAAGTCAGAATTACAAACCGTAGTTAATTAAACTGTTAGCTGGATTCGTACATCAACTCTGTGATACTTCCATTATACCACAGGCGCGTCACAATCATCACATAATTAAGGTGATCGAGGTTATCTTTATCTCTAGCACAACGGTGCAAGCAAGTGTCCATTTACATTAAAAATCAAAACGATTTAAAAACTTTAAGTAACAAGAGGGTGCAACAGTTTAGTTAAAAAAGACGACTGCGAATATATATCACTAAGAAATTAGAATTACAATTCATAGAAATTCATCATTTAAACAATAGTCCAATAACAATTATTGGTCACCGGCACCGCTCCAGAGTAAAGCAGTCAGCTAAACGCAAGAAAATTCAGCCACCAAGAAAATAAATAAATTTAATTAATATTAGATAATCAGTCCTTATTAATATGAATAATTTAAGTAATTATTACAAGCTGATACGACACGCAATTATTTTTGAAGAAAATTTATCAAAAAATACATTAAAGAAAGGAGGCAACAACAATCCAGAACAAAGTATTAGCGTATAATATAATTGCCACAGGATTTGAAGTTTCCGCTGTTAGCGACAATCACTTCAATAAATTGGTTCTATTCTGTGCCATGACACTCACCGTCGACTCGTAAGTCGCACGAGGCTCATCAAGAAGATCAGTTCTAATCCAAAAGAAAGATCAGTTAGGACCCAGAAGATCAGTTCTAATCCAGAAGGAAGATCAGTTCTAATCCAGAAAAAATATCACCTGTAATCCAGTAGAGAGATCAGTTCTAATCCAGGAAAAGGATCAGTTCTAATCCAGAAGAAAGATCACCTCTAATCCAGAAGAGGTGAACAGTTCTAATCCAGAAAAAATATCACCTCTAATCCAGAAGAGAGATCAGATCTAATCCAGAAGAAAGATCAGGTAGGACCCAGAAGATCAGTTCTAATCTAGAAGTGGTTTTATTATTAAGGGAATGCCGAGTGCAAACTGCACACGTGTCATCGCAGGATAATTCCAGCATACACATTTGAAACGTACGAAATACAGACGCAATAACGTCACATTAACTTATTCCAATAGGAAAATCAACATGTTCCACTGTAATTATGTCCTCTAAAATTCACCATATTCTTTCAGACAAACTGATACTTTATTCGTGTTATTTCTTAGACAAAATAATTTCAAATTACAAGTTTATCTGAGACCATGCAAGTCATCAACAAGCAATCAAACTCTTAGCCGCAATTGTTTTATCCATACATATTTTATGTTGTATAAAATAATTTTTTTATAAATAAAATAGCAGTTTGAATGTGGTTAGTAAGCACTCGCTCAGCATTCTCACTGCCGGAGCAGAATTACGCATAACCTAAATTGAAGGTTTGAAATTTCCAAAAGTCCAGCATATAATTAAAATTATTCATTACACGCCTAAGTTGATGTTGAGTTTGGAAACTAAAGAATATTCATAGTTCTTAAGGAATCATCAGCATTCTTCCTAAGAGCCTTGTAAATCTGACGCTAGGCAAACAAACTATTACATGCGGACCTCGAATAAAGATTCTGCGAGAAATTGATAGTCGAAAACAAAGGAACTGGTCAAAAAAAAAACTGGATAAACCATTCAGTAAGAATGGTTCATCAACTGATACGGACAAACCGATTTAGTTCAGCACGACCATTTCTCACTGGACACACTCCCTCGATAGTTTGAGAGAAAATGGCAAAACATAGCGCTGATGAGGTTCTTACGTAAGATTCATGACACAATTCGGACATCACATACTGTGCGGACTGACGCGCATTATAGCATACCTCAGTATGAGCAACAATATTATTTAATTGTAGCTTTTTTAGCGCGTTCATTGATTACACAGAACTAACGTTATACGAGTGGCTAATAATGCATTAATTGGGAGAACGTAATAAGCTAAATCCTTGTTGACGTTGGTCTAAATGCAAGACACCTGCCGCTTATATTGCAGTCAGGAGAAGGCCATAACCTCAATCCATTTTAACGTTGGTGTAAATGTAAGACACCAGCCGCTTGTATTGCACTCATAAGAAGGACACAATCTTAATCCATCTTAACGTTGGTATAAATGTAAGACACGAGCCGCTTATATTGTTGTCATAAGAAGAAAGCCATAACCTCAATCCATCTTAACGTTGGTGTAAATGTAAGACACGAAAGTGAAGGAGGCGAAGAAAGAGATGGTGCCAAGGGTGAGGAAGATGACGTAGGCTGAGAGAACAGACCAGCCCACGAACTCTACGGTCTGCAGCAGCCCGGACATGTTTGACTTGTATATATAGTAGAAGGCGCTGTAGCACAGCACAAATAAACCCGTCGACCTGCAAATGGATTGCGCACATTACAACTTCTCAACTTGTTACACATTGTCAATTTTGCAATGAATAGGTACCGAAGACAAGAATATATATCGCATAATCCCGCGAGAAGATATCTCACTTTTACAAAAACAAGGTTATGAAGCAATGCTTATGCTCTATAGTCAAACTGTTTTGTTATGTGTTTGCTCATCACATATTGCAAAGAAAATTCTACAATGTTCATGAAGCGACTAGGCACTAGTTTCACTGTAGCACAGAGAGGAAGCTGTTTAAGCAGACATTCAATTCTTATTTTACGTGTGTAATAAAACATAAATAAATCAAAAGCCACATTTAACTAAATTAAGTTGGCACCAAAATTTGGCATTAGTATAGTACCTATCTAGATTATGAATGATTTATTCCTAATATTAATTTTATTCTTGTAAAACGAAACTGATTCACTGATGTTCAATTCGAAAGAAATTTTTTGCTTCAAATTGATGACGCTGCCGCAAGTGAAAACCTACACGAGCTGTAGAAGGCCATGGTTGAACTAGTATAAGATTGACCCATGAGAAGCCCATTTTTACGGATGTAGTTCGTTGTTCGCCTGTGACGTCACTGATCTCAGTGACGTCACGGGCATTAACCAATCACCGAAATTGGATCTAACCAGTCAACCAATCCGTCATAGGGACAACGGGATTGTTTACGTTTCTCGTTCTCAGTGACACTCGATCTAACAACAAAGATGAAGTGAAAGGCGGAAATTCTCGTGGGTTAACCTTATATAGTTCAACCATGGTAGAAGGCTGTAGGGTTGAGTTCTTCAAACTTTATAGTCCAAGTCTTACCTAGCATTTAAACTTTATAGGCTAAGACTTACCCAGCATTTAAACTTTATAGGCTAAGACTTACCCAGCACTTAAACTTTATAGGCTAAGACTTACCCAGCATTTAAACTTTATAGGCTAAGACTTACCCAGCATTTAAACTTTATAGGCTAAGTCTTACCCAGCATTTAAACTTTATAGGCTAAGTCTTACCAGCATTTAAACTTTATAGTCTAAGTCTTACCCAGCATTTAAACTTTATAGGCTAAGTCTTACCCAGCATTTAAACTTTATAGTCTAAGTCTTACCCAGCATTTAAACTTTATAGTCTAAGTTTTACCCAGCACTTAAACTTTATAGGCTAAATCTTACCCAGCATTTAGAATGGATCGCCACCACCAGCGATAGTCTTCACTAGCGAGCAGGAAGTAAGTGAGTCCCACAGACACACACGCCGTCACACTGAGCACCAGCAGCAGCACCAGCGCCAGAATACCGTACAGGGTGTACGACTCGCGCCCCCACAGCGTCGAGAAGATGTAGTACAGCTCCACGCTTATGGCGCTGTCGGGGCAACACTTGACTTGAAATCCTTATTTAATTCTATTATTTGAGGCTACGGGAATCAAGTGTCGAAGAAACTTTACAGGTCCACGCTTATGACACTACCAGGGCAACACTTGACTCAAAATCTTCATTTAATTTTATTATTTGAGGCTGCAATAAGAAAGTGTCAAAAAGATTTTACAACTCCACGCTACAGTAACGATTGTAATAAACAAGAATGACACTCAAACAAATAAGAAGCTTCAATCATTAATACCTAAAGTAATACTCAGCGGTAGGATAGAGTTAGAGTAAATACCTATAGCAATACTCAGCTGTAGGATATATTTAGAATAAATACCTAAAGCAATACTCAGCTGTAGGATATATTTAGAATAAATACCTAAAGCAACACTCAGCTGTAGGAAGAGTTAGCACATAAATAAATAAGAAGAGAAAGTTGCGCCACCTGAAGGGAAGGAAGCCTCCAATGAAGCAGTGAGCAGGCATCCTCTTGTACCAGGGAATGTCAGGTATTTCCCGAGGGAAGTTTTTGCTGCGGCAAGGGAACTGGAAGGCGTGCGAGTGACGGTGGCCCAGGACCCCGCCCAGCACCGTCAGAGGGTAGCCAACTGTTGACGAGAACAACATCAGGGCCAACACTTTCAAAAAAAGATAAGAGATCGTAAGTTCATCAGCCAATCATTGACGGCCTTTCAAGTAAAATCCACCAATAAAAAAGTTAAGAGATCGTAAGTTCATAAGCAAATCATTGACGGCCTTTCAAGTAAAATCCACCAATCATAGACAAGAAAATAGAGCGTAAGTACTTACGTTCACTTAGCGAGTTTTGGAAGTTAGTAACGCTCACTACGGAGATGCAGGCGAGGCATATATTATAGGCCAAGGGCCATACTTTCAAAATTCGCCGAATTAACGTAAGTACTTACGCTTTATTTTCTTGTCTTTGATTGGTGGATTTTGTTTGAAAGGCCGTCAATGATTGGCTAATGAATTTACAATCTCTCAAGTTTTTTTTTTTAAGTATGGGCCTAGGCTATAATTCTTCAGACCTAGCGTCGTAACTTGCACACTCGACCATAGTTACACGCACACAATTGAGAGGTTTAAATTAACAACAATATTCATGACAAAAACTGATCAAACAAAGGCATTTTAATACATAATCATCATTAACAAAATCAATTTTATAGAAATTAAATAAATAATATGTTCACATAAATGAGACACCGTAAGAAGCCTCAACGGCAGTTGAAGGAAATTGTTGATCAAAATCAAGGCAAACTTGCCTTGAAGCACAAGTGTGTGCAACAGAACACTAGTCACGAGGAAAATATTCACAACGGCGAATAAAGATTATAACTACTGTAATTCTAACTACTACTGTAATAACTTCTAACAGTAGTTTTCTAATTCTAACTACTGTACTGCAGTAATAATTTATATGGTAACTTCTAGTCACCGTAGAAATAGTATCTAGGGTAACTTGATTTTTCTGAATCCAGCCGCTGGATGAGAAAGAGTGTAGATTGGTTTCGCTGTTTTGGGCTACGGTAATAAAGTGTCGAAGAGTACAGCCCCTCGCTTAACACTTTGACTCCGATTGCTTCATCTTGTACTGTTATTTCATTTTCTTGTACTGTTTTTAAACAGGGTTGCCAGGCGGTCATTTTTTACGGACAAATTCCGCGATTTAGTTTTTTCAATTGCGTTGGCCGGCTAAAATTTATGATAGGGGTACTTCCCAATCAAATTTTAAATACAGCAATAAGAAAATAAATGGAATTTTCATAGCGGAACCTACAAATAAACTAGTATTGACAAATACCAGTTTATTATTAAACAAACATTGACAAATACTATTGACAAATACAAATAAATACTAGATAACCCAATTAATGAGTTATCGGCCTTTTTGGCCTTTTTTGTTCTCGGATTTGGCCGATTTTAGGCAACCTGAATTATTTACCACTACGTCCTGGAGAAATGCATTTCGTGGTACGCATATGTACCACTTCGATGTCAACGTTTTAAGGCGCTAACATAAACTTGAAGCTCTTATCAGTATTTGTGTCCTAATGTAAAGATAACATATTAGGCTGGAAGCGTTTAGCTTCTAGCTCCTCTTCCACAATGGTTTCATAATCCCTTGCAGCTGCATGGTTTGAAAGCTTAAATACACTAATTATTATACAGTATCCATCTTTAAATAATATATCAAGACGGTCTATTAAATCATTACTGTGCTTAAATTCTTCACAGGTAAAATAGGCGAAACTTCAAAACTTCATATACTACAGGAAGCATTGTAATAGACAAGAATGACACTCAAACAAATAAGAAGTTTAAATTATTAATACCTAAAGTAATACTCAGCTGTAGGATAGACTTAGAATAAATACCTAAAGTCATACTTAGCTGTAGGATAGAGATAGCACATAAATAAATAAGAAAGGGGAAGTTACGCCACCTGAAGGGAAGGAAGCCTCCAATGAAGCAGTGAGCAGGCATCCTCTTGTACCAGGGAATGTCAGGTATTTCCCGAGGGAAGTTTTTGCTGCGGCAAGGGAACTGGAAGGCGTGCGAGTGACGGTGGCCCAGGACCCCGCCCAACACCGTCAGAGGGTAGCCAACTGTTGTCGAGAACAACATCAGTAACGCTCACTACGGAGATGCACGCGAGCCATATATTATAGGCCCTGTCTCTTATACACATCTAGATGTGTATAAGAGACAGGGGCAGCACTACAACACAGGCAACAGGCAGCACTACGACACAGGCAACAGGCAGCACTACAACACAAACAACAGGCAGCACTACGACACAGGCAACAGGCAGCACTACGACACAAGCAACAGCAACGTGCCTACAGAGGTACCGTATAGGCAACAGACCTAACAGAAGTACAGGCAACAGGCCTACAGAGACACAGGCAACAGCCCCAATAGAGACAGAAGCAACAGACCTAACAGAGACACAAGTAACAGACCTACAAGAGACACAAGTAACAGACCTAACAGAGACACAAGTAACAGACCTACAAGAGACACAAGTAACAGACCTAACAGAGACACAAGTAACAGACCTAACAGAGACACAAGCAAGAGGCAGCACTCAAGACTCACCAATGAGCCACAGGAGCAGCAGCAGCACGACGGTGTTGACGGGCAGAGCCTGCGTTGAGCCGTAGCACCAGGCGATGGTGTTCTGGACGGTCCACACCAGGAACAAAGGACCTGAGCGGTAAGGAGAGATGAGTAATACCTGGCCAATATCTGGCCAGTATCTGGCCCATATCTGGCCAATACCTGGCTGACATCTGGTCAATACCTGGCCAGTATCTGGCCAATACCTGGCTGACATCTGGTCAATACCTGGCTGATATCTGGCTAATGCCTGGCCAATACCTGACCCACATCTGGCCAAGACCTGACCAATACCTGACAATACCTGACCAATACCTGGCCAATACCTGGCCAATATCTGGCCACCTGATCAATATCTGGCCAATACCTGACCAATATCTGGCCAATACCTGACCAATATCTGGCCAATACCTGGCTAATATCTGGCTAATACCTGGCCAATAGTATTAAAATTCACAGCAATGAAGGATTGCGGCTGAAAAGGAATAAGGCACATCTAATTTCTGTCACAATGCAGTGGAGTGCGACTAACTCTACATAGCAGCAAATTACAAGATGTATTCAGAGAATAACTCATTTGAAGTACAAACTGTACATTTGAAATGAGTAAAAACAAGAGCAAATATCCCAGGCAAGGCTATGCGTAAAACCAACCAGTGAACAAACCTTACTTTTGAAATGAGTAAAAACAAGATAGTGCAAATCTGTAAGGCCATGCACTAAACCAACCAGTGAAGAGGACCGTAGTGAGGTTTATATTGGCGACCCATCTCTGGCCGTCCATCTTCCTGTAGAGGGTGGACGAGACGAGGCCCGCCACGAAGGACGTGAGGGCGTACAGGATGACGCCGGCGGCGTTCACGGAGCCGTGGCGGTGGACGCTGAACAGCCCCAGCAGAGCCAGCGCAAGGATGCNGTGTGGCAGCTGATGCTGAGGTAAACAAGAGTGTGGTGTGTGGCAGCTGATGCTGAGGTAAACAAGAGTGTGGTGTGTGGCAGCTGATGCTGAGGTAAACAAGAGTGTGGTGTGTGGCAGCTGATGCTGAGGTAAACAAGAGTGTGGTGTGTGGCAGCTGATGCTGAGGTAAACAAGAGTGTGGTGTGTGGCAGCTGATGCTGAGGTAAACAAGAGTGTGGTGTGTGGCAGCTGATGCTGAGGTAAACAAGAGTGTGGTGTGTGGCAGCTGATGCTGAGGTAAACAAGAGTGTGGTGTGTGGCAGCTGATGCTGAGGTAAACAAGAGTGTGGTGTGTGGCAGCTGATGCTGAGGTAAACAAGAGTGTGGTGTGTGGCAGCTGATGCTGAGGTAAACAAGAGTGTGGTGTGTGGCAGCTGATGCTGAGGTAAACAAGAGTGTGGTGTGTGGCAGCTGATGCTGAGGTAAACAAGAGTGTGGTGTGTGGCAGCTGATGCTGAGGTAAACAAGAGTGTGGTGTGTGGCAGCTGATGCTGAGGTAAACAAGAGTGTGGTGTGTGGCAGCTGATGCTGAGGTAAACAAGAGTGTGGTGTGTGGCAGCTGATGCTGAGGTAAACAAGAGTGTGGTGTGTGGCAGCTGATGCTGAGGTAAACAAGAGTGTGGTGTGTGGCAGCTGATGCTGAGGTAAACAAGAGTGTGGTGTGTGGCAGCTGATGCTGAGGTAAACAAGAGTGTGGTGTGTGGCAGCTGATGCTGAGGTAAACAAGAGTGTGGTGTGTGGCAGCTGATGCTGAGGTAAACAAGAGTGTGGTGTGTGGCAGCTGATGCTGAGGTAAACAAGAGTGTGGTGTGTGGCAGCTGATGCTGAGGTAAACAAGAGTGTGGTGTGTGGCAGCTGATGCTGAGGTAAACAAGAGTGTGGTGTGTGGCAGCTGATGCTGAGGTAAACAAGAGTGTGGTGTGTGGCAGCTGATGCTGAGGTAAACAAGAGTGTGGTGTGTGGCAGCTGATGCTGAGGTAAACAAGAGTGTGGTGTGTGGCAGCTGATGCTGAGGTAAACAAGAGTGTGGTGTGTGGCAGCTGATGCTGAGGTAAACAAGAGTGTGGTGTGTGGCAGCTGATGCTGAGGTAAACAAGAGTGTGGTGTGTGGCAGCTGACTGTGAGGTAAACAAGAGTGTGATGTGTGGCAGCTGATGCTGAGGTAAACAAGAGTGTGGTGTGTGGCAGCTGACTCTGAGGTAAACAAGAGTGTGGTGTATGGCAGCTGATGGTGAGGTAAACAAGAGTCAAGGTATTTGGAAACAAACCAAGTATGGAGCAGAACAGCGTAGCACGAGGCGGAATACGGAACACGTCCGTGTGGATGATTTTCCAGCCATACTCAGTGTCCAGGTCGCCACTAGCCTCGTCTTCCAGACTGTTGTAGCGAGCGAAGTCCCGGCGTAAGATCCGCAACTGACAACACAAATGAGATTCAGTCAAAATAAAAAGGTGATTCAGTCGAAATAAAAGGAGATTCTGTTAATAAAGGAACTCAATTCGTTAGAAAGTTTGGTCTAAATGACAAGAAGACCTCTGAATTATCGTGAAATGGAAACTTTACAAATTCGAAACACAAAATTCATAGCAATATATCCACAATAGCCAGCATGCACGTCATTGCTGGAAGCAGCTACCACAGGTTAAAAAACGTAATGAAAGTATCATAATTACTGATACTTTAAAAATGATGCACAGCTGACGATGAAGTATTATGTAGTGTACATCGGTTCTATCTTTCCAAACGAGCAGGAACCAGAATATTGAGGGTCAGATACAAACCAAAATGACGGCCACAAATCCAATGAGGAGAAAGACCAACACAGAAGAGTTGATGATGGAGAGCCAGTGGATTTCAAAGGATCTCGGGAAGAAGCTGTTGTCTTCAAGCAGCCTGTTCCTGTCGCTAAACTTGACACTGCACACAACAAAGAAATGTTTTTCATGCAATCCAACCAATAAATCCCACCAATTACTTGATGAATTATTAACGAATACACAATGGACTGAGAGTTGAAGGATCTCAAGAACCAGATGGGATCCATAAGTTTGAAATTGATAAAATCCTATACAGAGCAAGAAATGGTGTATGGAATAGCACTCAATTGAAGTGATATTCCTTTACCAAGTCAATAAAGTCTACACACAACTAACACAAATGCCAAGACAATGATATATAAGATTGAGAGGTTAGCAACATTCTATGAGAAATATTTTAAGAGGCGGTAATAATCATTAGGAATTAAGGTGAACACTTAATAAGGGTGTCGGACTTCAACTTAAAATTTACTTGCACAAATTCAGTTTTCCATACAAATTAATCTTCATAGTATGACGCAAACAGTAAACAGGTAAATATTGGCACATGTATTAATGGCAATAAAGTGACATTTGATGAGATACGATGAATGTAATGCATCAAAAACTGGTAAAATTCAAAGTAGCTGTTATTGAGGACAATCTGTTGGCGTAAGCTAATGACCACTTACTATGTACACAAATAAAAGAGTTACTAATTAAACAATGACTGGCATAAACTGACTTGGTGGGCACCCAGGTGACGGAGTATGTGGGTTTGATGGCAACAGGAGGCTTTAGCTCTGCAAGGTTCACAGGGTTGTGGTCCCGAGTTGTGTTCACCATGATGATCTAATTAAAAATCAAGGAAAAATATAACTCAGTACTCACTGCAGTGAGTGACAGAGAGCGCATTTTCTCGTCAACGAAAATGTGAAGTCACGGACAGACGGACAAACAGACAGACATGACGAGCACAATAGCCACTTATTTTTCCATATATGAGAAAATGCGTTAAAAACACTTTCATGATGATACTGACCTATGTGTGTGATTTGAAATAACAGAAAATTAGATTGCATTAGAAAATGGATTTTTGAACAAAAAGACAGTAGGAAGTTTTAGATCTCGAAGAAACAAAAAAAGCAGTGATGTACCTTATCTTCATTGTAATAGATCATGAAATGTTGATGTGTCCAGAGGTAGACTTTATGGGAGTGTGGCACAAAGCCAGTCTCTTCCACGTGGCCAAGAAATTCCCGGACGGGGATGTCATCTACGACAAATTCGTAATAATAATTCTCTTCAATGGCTTCAAGCAGTTGCGACACCTCATCTTCTGATAGTACGAGACTGCACAAAACTGCGTCTGTAACAGGAACTGCACAAAAAGAAAAACACAGAACTGATCAATGAAAATTATGCCAGTGAAATTTCACTTGCCTGAAACTTGAAGCCAATGAAAGATCCACGAGTGAACAGTTAATTTTTCATCCAAGTTGGGGCCAAAAACCTTATACCGTTAGTTATTTAAAATAGTAATAAAGAAGAAATGTAGTACTTTAAATAATTCTAGCAAAAACAAATAACATAAGCAAATGCTCAACTCAATTGTTGTCAGGATAAATGGAGGAGCAGGTGTTTTGTTCACTTAATCAGTAGGTAATAATCACATGTAAATAGGACATATATACAAAATAATTTGCATCAAGATCATAGGTGTTGTAAAATTCAACATAGATTGGCACTTATAATTCTGAAAAATTTTCAAGAGTAATTTTATCCAGTGACATATAAATAAAACTAGTTTTAAAACTTGAAGTAATGCCTAAAATAGAAATAATTTACAATACCGTATTAGAGGTTACATTACCTTATTTTCATACTCAAAACAGATTATTTTTAGTTGACTGATTCGACAATTACTGGATGAAAAGGTGAACAAATTTTTTCATGAATTTTTTGTTTATCTAGTTGAATCAAAAGTAAGTAATAGTTGCAAAATAAATGAAATATTTTGATAATATTCACAGCCTTAATAATAGCTTCCCAGGGATCCTACCATTGAACTTGAAGTTATACAAAGACTGTGCCATGCGGTCGCCATCGAGAACTTCCCCTAGAGTCAGGGCCTTGTGCTCTATCTGGAAAATCAGATTTAATTAGACCAATAAACAAAAGCCACTTTAGCAAACATAGGCAGTTAAAATGCAACTATACTTCAAAGGAATTTAAACATAAATAATAAAACAAACAAAAATTCACAATCATTTAAGTAATCATGTAACAAAGGAACAATCTTTATTAGAATTAAAGAGGAATAAAGCATTTCAAATTAGCATCATCAATAAAAAAAAAACAAGTTTTATAAGAATACAGGCTAAATATGGATTTCTTCATGTATATACAGGGGATAGACAAAATAAGGGAAACACCTGAGAAATCCACACAATATAATTTAGTATGGTGTAGGTAAGTACACCTTCAGCAGCAATTAGAGCCTCAATTATCTGAAGTATTGATTCATACAAATTGTGATTTTTTCCAAAGGAATTTTAACCTATTCTTTAGTTAAAACTCCCTCCAGCTCTTTTAAAGACAATGGCAATGGACTTCTGACTTGACCAACATGCTCTCGTTAATAATGAAGCCATGGTCAGTGGCTGTTTAATGGATTGACAAAGGTGTCTACAGGAGGGGAGTTCATTCAAGAGACCACTGGACAAGTGTTTGCAAGAATTTGGATCGTCCAGTTATGGGAAGCAACCCTCAGCAAGTGACAAGCAACAGCATCTTGCATCAGCTGGCCCAAAGAAGGGTAGATACACAGAACACATCCAATGCAACATCCACAACCCTAGGGTGGAGCTACCTGCCTATTGACAACTTGGAGATGAGTGCTGACAAAAGTACCTAGCGCATCACCATGACCGTGGGACAGAGAAGTCATTAAGACATTAACTGATCATAAGCCTCCTATAGGTATATAAATTGAATGAAAGCATCTGTGCTAGTGGTCAAATTTACATATTCCCATGGCCCTTGATTAAATTCTTGAATTAGATATAAAAAAGGGCATGTTTGCAAAGCAAAATTGCTGGTGAAATGATGGTTTTACAAAATAATTTTGGAAAAATCTGCCCAATAGTAGAGCATAACTGGAAAATTTGACAGAAACTACCCATGAATCAGACAAAAGGGCCTGTAAATGATGAATTTGGCCAAATAAATTTATTCCAACAGCCTTTACCCAATTTATTCAGTAAAAATAAGAAAATCAGACTATTTTTATCTGCATATTTTGAAAATCACCAATGAAATGCTTGTTTTTATGTGCAATTTTAGGAAAATTCTGCCCAATCTTTCACATTGGTATTAAAGATGGGCTTGATGTATGAGCCATTCATCTTAAAACTCTCAGTGTTCTTAGTATAAGTAACCTTAATACTTGACTTACTATTTTTGGTCGGCAGACAGGCATAGAATAGAAGTGATAGGTCTCATGAGGATTGAAGTATGGTCCCACTTTGTTGACATACACTTCAACCTGAAAATAAGTCAGTAATTAACCTTGAGTAATTAAAAAAATTTTGTGATAATTTAAAAATGAATCAACAGAATTATAATTCCCTAACTCATTTACACTTGAATTCAATTATGTCAATGACTTACGTATAACTCATCATAACTTAGTACAAGACTCCAAGTCAATTTGGTCAACTAAGTAGTAACTCGGTATACTCATTTGTCCATACCTTTTCTGCATTCTGATAAGCGTCAGAATAACACAAAACGCAAAAAATAAAAATAGACCTCACAATTCTTGAAGCCATTCTTAATGGATTGCTAGTCTGATTCAACTCTTCTATCTGATGGTGTGCATTTTGTTGCACTAACTCATTGCTAAGGTTCAGACAGAGACCCCTTCAAATAAGAGAAGAATTAATTAGTGGACATCTTCATAGGGTGTTCACCATGCTGCAGATCAGCAGGTGTTTTCCCAACAAGGTATTACTGCTGTACGTCTTCTCTGAGGAATATCTCCTCCATCAAGAGTTGATACAGTGTTCCAAGGAATGAAAGATCATCCAATTCTGAGATAAACTCTCTCCTTTGAGCAAGCAGTGAGCCAAACTCCCTCTGAGCAAGCAGTGCCGGATGAAGTGATTAATTGTATCCTCTGTTTGCACATGGGGCATACTGTCAAATTGGGTAATTAGCGACAGGCAGTGTAAATCGGGACAGTTGTCCCACATTTCATAGAAATGTTGCAGCAGCTAAACTACTCAAAATATTGCAAAACTAAAAATAGTGGTGTAAAGTTCAACATTTTTACTATCTATGTAGCATAAAGCAAATTAAGAAATCATACATTTACTTCCTCTAAAAAAACCCTGAAAAAAAGGGTGAGAAGTGAGATTTTGGAAAAGCAAGTCTGCTTAAGTCTGTACCGGTAGTAAAAAAAAAATTGCCGTATTAACAAATTTTACTTACATAGAAGGTGCACACTGGTGTTGGCTTAAAAACGTGATTGACGGAATTTTCATATCTCATTCCAAAAAAATTTGGCGGCCATTTCCGCACAACGGGATAAGAAGGGACACCCCTAAAACTGCATTTACAGTAGAACCTCAGCTAGCAAAGGCTTCAGTTAACCAAAAAATCAATTATCAACAAAAATTTGGATTACCTACATTTACCACGCTCAGCAAAAAAAAATTTTTTTAACAAAAAATTAATGTATCATCGGTCATCAAAAAATTGTGCATAGAATGCCATAGATAGAATTGTGCACTGGGCAACATAGAATGTAAAGTAATTAATCTAAACTATGATTTATTTCTCCAAAAAATATTATGGTTGGAGAATGATATATACATTATATTATGATCATTTATTCTTATAGTGAATTCACTTGACCCAATTAAAATGGTGAGAAATTACAAGCCATCCTGTAAGCTAACAGATGCAGAAAAAATGCTACATGGCTGCTAATATGAAGCTTGCAGTAGCTAAGGTCATTGTAAATGCACAGTGGCATGTCCATAGATACGGTAATATCACATCAACAATACAATAATGTATGGATACGGTATGGTAATATCATATCAGTAATGGAAAAACAAGTAAAAAAACACTGAAAATGTTATTTATTCTACTTCTACATCATCTACACAGGAAGAGGAGGACTTCAGAGTACTGTTAGTAATGGATGAGTACACTTTGCATGCTTCAAACGTTTCAAAATTGAGTTTTATTTCAAATGTCCCAGATCACCCCATTCCCAGGGGGTAATTTGGGAAGCTTTTATTTTGCATCAGGCACCTTATGAATAGCATATGGACTTTTTTTGGATATGTCATTCGATAGCGCTCACAAAGAGCTTTAAAATGAGAAGAAACTTGTTTATGAAATGGTAAGAAGTTAGGTGGAGGGTTGTTTAATGGTAAGCAGTTATTAACAAAAAAAATGCTCAAAACCATCTCTTATTACCCCATTTGATGGTAATTGTTAATTTCATCAAAACTTGGGGTATATTCTTGCCAGAGTTGGGGTACATCCAGCCAAGAGGAGTAGCAATTTTTGCTGATTAAAATTCAAGATTAGTACCTCCAGACTCCAGTAATACCGGTAGGTACCCTATAACAGAGCGTTCATGCATTCTCAGCCATTTTTCACAGAGACAGACAACATTAGGTTTTTCTTTCTACAGATAAAGTTTGATTTTTATGAGTTTTCCATGTAATCCATGACAATTTCATTGCACTATTCCCACACCCAATTCTCTTCTGCAATGCCAAGTGAGTTAACTGCTGGGAGCATTGAGCTCATTGTGATTGTGCTCAACTACTTCTAATCTTGCCCCTGCCCTCCATTTAGCCTATCCACCTGGTTTGGATACAACACAAGTCAAGCCAACGATTTGGATACAAATCTTTCTTGGCAGGTAACCACTCCTGCAGAACATTACTAACTTCCTGTCCAAAAACATTTCTCTGGAGAATAATGAGAAGCACGGATCTCTTTGTACCTTCACTCAGTAGATTCAGCTTTCAACACTTCATTCAAGAATTGATCCAATGTAATAGAAAATCCGGTAAGTGATAAACAAATAATATCTGGTTGTTTCTTGCTGGTAGCCAGCTTCTCCTTCATAATCACTCTTAAGTCTGCAAAGGAGCTCTCACTCATTTGCCCTACTGCAGCAACAACTGAAGAACCAGATTTATCTTATAGACTCACAAGAGGCAGAGACTGGACGAAACTAACACCTGAGCAACTACCCTGAGATTGATGAACATCTACTGGAAGTGTCAGTATTTGTCACATTGGTAAGAGTTAACACTGAAGGACAAGGAAGGTTCAAGTCTGCCACAATAGAAGAATGGGGATGATGCGTGCTTGCCACAACCTAACCAGGAGCCATTCTTTATAAAAGATACCTTCTAGGCATAGTGGCAAAGAAATTTTTTAGAATCAATTGATGTTTAATTTCCTTATATACTCAATATTAAAAGAAGATATTTATGATAATGCTGGTTACTATGATCCCTTGCTGGTCTACTCAGTGTGGAATTCTAGATAGGTAACATATTCTGACGTTTATATAAGAAAAAGGATCGAGAAGCCTACCACGTTACACCTTCCGGTGACAATTAAGACACAGAACAGAAACAGACAGAAACAGAAACTGCTGTTTATTGGTATCTGACAATTTTTTGCAATGAATAAATTCTAAAATAAAAAAATTATATCAACTCTTGTAGAAAATTCTCACAATTTCACCAATACTAACAAAGTTTTCAAAACATTAGAAAATGATGGGATAAACTGCAAATCTTTCATGGGGTATGGCAACATTGTGCTGTGATGTAAACATATGACAGGACGTCATTGCCAAGACCTTGTTTTGGTAATGTCAAGTTTGATTTCACAATAAATAAATTTGATTCACATTCTACACTGAGATTTAAATGATGAAAAGTTGTTTCAAAATTTAAACACCTATTGATATGTGTCCAGATATGAATTTTTTCATGTTTTTGCCCATTTTTATGGATATTGTCTAATTAACTTAACTTAATATTCTGAATGATTTTGTCTCCCATAGCAAGTTTTTTGAACAACTCTTGTTTTTTATAAAACATTTGTTGTTTAGAAGTGGTAATTATGGCATTAAATAAATCATCCAGCGCTTATGCATGTACCATGAGGTGTATTAGGTATATAATTAAATTTAATTTAATAATATTTGATTTTTAATATAAAATTTCTAATTATTATTTTAAATTAAAAATGTTTTTGATTTATTTTAACTTAACAGCATGTACCATGTGGTGTACTAAATAATTAAATAAAAATTTAATATAATATAATTTTAATTTTTTTTTAATTCAATTCAATTTTAATTCAGCTGCCGCCCATAAAAATAAGCATCATAGAAACAAAGGTAAAATTGCCATCCATACAATCCAAATTGAATGACAATGAATGGATTTGGTAGGTATTTTATTAATCCCATTTTTATGTATGAATGGAAATGTTGCTTCTATTTCAGAATCTGTTCTTGAATACACTTGTAAAACTACTGTAAAACTAGTTCTTACATACCGTAATATTGCGGTTGCAATGTTGTACTTGCTGCACCTTTCGGCATTGCCATTGTCAACTGTAATTTGAAAAAAAGGCAGTTGCTCGTTTGCTATCCCTGTGTGCATGTGTATGACATTTTGCTCCTGCAAAATAGCTTCGCAGTCAGTGCAAAGCTATTTCGCAGAGTTGAACATGATGCACTGAGATGCAGTGCATCATGTTCAACTCTTATTAGTGGTGGGATTGGTTATTAATTCATAAATGTTAATTTGTTATGTTTGACTTAACTTAACTCTTTTGTGACGGCAATGTGTTCTACAACTTTTTATTCGTATTTTTTTACAGAATCATCATGAACTTGGACCAAATATTGCATCTCCGTAAAAATAATTAAATATATGTTAATGGAAAAAAGTATATAATTGGGAGTTTTTGGGACTAGAAAATCCTGGTAGAATATGGTTCCAACTGAGGTGACACAATTTGCGACATCACTGATTTTGATAAAAAAATATTTTCGTAATATTTTTTGTTAGTAGTTGAATAATATCACAAACATCCTTTGGCAAACGTGTGTAATATCTTATATAATAACATATCCCAAAAAGAACAAATATTAATATTCCCTTAGATTGGACATATGTAGACGCAGGAGTGTTTCTAATATGTCCCTGTAGTTAGCTATGCCTTGAATTTAGCGCTACATGCAAGTTATAGAGTAAATCGTTGAGCGGGACGTCACAGTCACTTCAGTCAATTACCGGTACTTTTGAGTTGACATAGGCGCAGGAGTGTTACTCATCATAACTCATGTGTCCCTGTAGTTAGCTATGCCTTGAATGGTACGCTGTATGCAAGTTATGGAGTAAAACATTGAGTGGGATGTCACAGTCCCATCAGTCACAAAAGGGTTAAACAGTTAAACTGTAACTTAAATCCCTCCTATTCATGATTGGAATTTTCCTACTTGTTTCTGAAACCTTGCAGCTGAGCCATCAGCCGTGACAAATTTTTAATACATTTGGAAACTTGCGGCCCGATTGTGCACTTTGTCAAGTGTCAACAATTAGATAGGAGGTAACTCACTTCAGTCACTTGGCAGGAATCTCGTGGTTCTGGAAATGGCGGGAAAGCTCTAGTCACGGTCTTAGAGGGAGATGTTTTCATAGCTTGCTCCAATTATTATCCTTTTCTATCTTAACTAAAATTTTTGGATAACAAAAATGGTGGAGGTGGATTGAAAATAACATAAGAACCTTAATTTTTATAATTCCATCCTGATTACTACTTGGAGGACTTGAATATGAACTTGAGGATGAGTCTAAAAAATTCTCTGGTTCTGGTGTTGTACGCTGTATGGCATCTGCTTCTGCAGCAAGCCTGCAAGGCAGCCAGAATCTCCCATGTTGAACCAACTTCAGCTCTTTATAGAAATAAAGACATAAAAAATGTAACAAATCAAAAGTAATAAAACGGAAATGAATAGAACTTATAGTCTATAGAAGTATTAATAAAAATAAATAACCACAAAAAATAATAAAATAACTTCAGCAAAGCAGACTGTCAAACTTCTGGGGGAGAAAGCCACAAGCCAGTAGTGTTTATAAAGAATGAGGCCTAATAAAAAAATATTATAAGTAAATGCAAACCCTTCGAAAACAAATTC